ACGCTGCCGCTGACGCAACGGTTTCGGAGAAGGAGGCATGTGGGCTACTGGTGGAAAAGGACACCGGAGCTTACGCGGAGCTTACGCGGAGCTTACGCGCGGCTTACGCGCTGGAACTCACAAAAAACACCTGGAGTTTCTCATGTCTGACATGGAGGTTTGACTGTTCAGCTGTGGTGTTTGGACTGTGTGTTCAGCAATTCGAGTTTGGATTGTGTATGTATGTGTGGAGTTGGACTGTTCCTTAGTCCTGGCACTTCTGAGAGGGGTTGCTCATGTATTTATCATGTATTTCTTCAAAGCTTACGCATGGCTTACGCAAAAGGTTTCCTTACAAAAAGCTTACGCAACCTTACGCGCGTGCAGGTTTTGCTTACGCGCAACTTCGATATGACAACACACTGATTAAACATGAACACGGAGGTTTATCGAATGGCTCAGTTGATATCCAATTGAAATTAAATCAATGTCATGCGTTGTTGCCTCGGTCATGGACAGGATAATACAAAGAACTCGCGGTCACCTACCGAAATGACTGGAAGGTCACGGGTTTTGAAGGACAAACATGGTGAAAGGACCTTGCATCTGCTTCGCAGCCTCCTTCTTTGCAAAGCCAAGCCTTCAGGAGAGAGTTCCTTTTTAACCACATCAAGCACATGCTGTGAACTGCGTGTCCTCTGTCTTATTTCAATATAATATTCTATATATACACATAACTATACACATGTATATAATATGTCCTTCTCGGTGCAAATGTAAACATACGGTATAGTATACATGCTAATGCTGTGCTGCCTGCACAAACAACGCCAGCACCGGCGACAGGACGCAACCGTACTCGGGCACAAACTCCTCTGTCCATCCAATGTCTTGGAGTCATGGACGCCATGTGCGGAGCCACAGCCACGGGCAGTGTGCGCCGCAAAGGGACCTCCATCTCCATGTTCACCCTGCACCTCCTATGGCTCAATAAATATGGAATTCTCTTGAGCTGGGCAACCAACTGATCTCCAGTTTGGTCCTTCTCTTCATGCCAAATGTCACGCTATGATCTGCTAAATCCAAAAGTGCGAGTGTTTGGAGCTTGCATGATTGACAATGCTCACCATGCTCTCCATTGCATGGGCTGGAGCCCGAAGCACAGGCTTTGCTCAAAGGCAAATTTCTGCACTGTCAACCCTTCACAATGTTTCATCAATGAGCTGTAACTTGCCAGCGATACACAGCCGCTGCAAAGGCGATAGCCTTGGAAATTCAAGCATACCCTTGAGCAACCTTCGCAATCAGATTCAAAGGAGGTTGAAAGAGATCTGCACTAGTGAAACACATCCTTTTGCTTGATCTTATGAAGCACTCTTTAGGGCCGGGCTTCTTTTCCCAAGGTTCCGGAAGTGGCTCCTTTCAGTCTGACGGTGAACATTTGTTCAAGGACGTCTCCTACCTCGCCTTCTCAGCTTCGATGGAGTCGTAGATTCGCTGGAAGTCCTGAACAAGAAGTCTATCTAAATAAGGTAGCTAGGTTCATTGGCCACATACGTCAGATCCTTGAGCCTTTCAACATGAAACTGCCCTCAGGAGTCCACTTCCAAGTTGGATACGATCGCTGTCTCGAAACCTTCGGATAAAAAGAGCAACGATAAACATTGGAGCGTGATTGACGGCTCGCTGCAGGAATTGCACTCAGAGATAGAGAGAGATAGTCATCCAAATTCAAAGGCACAACGTGAAATCAGCGCAGTCACGCCGTGCAGCATTAAAACGGTATTAAGAAAACCGAGCCTCTAAAGGCAGGTAGGCGAGCCAATGTGAGTATCTCATTCCATCTTTGTGAGCCAACCTGGGCGACAAAATCTCAGCTTCTGGAAGGACATTCCTGGTTTCTAGGCACAAAGATCCCTTCATTCCAGGCGATTCAGCAAATAGCGGCCCGAGACTCTTGCCCATTCTGCTGGAATCCTGCTCAAGCTTGTTTTACAGGGATGCACAACCAGGTCTGTCGGCGTGCTTGGTGAGCTTATGCAGTCACTACAGAAGTCACAAACACCCAGGTACTACCGTGCTCTAACCATGCACTGGATACAACAAGCATATTGCTTAACATCAACCCGGTCATGGGCCCCTTCTCGAGCATATCGCTGGTAGGGCCGACAAGGAGATAGCGCAGCTCTGCATCATCAACACGATTGTCGCCTGGCCAAATCTACCATCTCTTGACATGCAGCACACGAGACCAAGTGTCATCAACTGCAGCATCTTGGTGTTTTGCCAAGACATCTTTCACTCTTTCGCCTTTCATGATTCTGATGCACAGTGCGAACGAGAAGAGTGTCTTGTCCTTCTCAAATAGGCCACGGCCTGAGGTATCAAACAATGTCACGTGTTGAGACATTCTGAACGTTTATCCAACATGGTTCGATCGGGGGAAACACAAAGGCGATCAAGAGGAACACGACATGCTCGGAGTTGTGAGTAATTAGATGTACACGATCAAGGAGTCTTGCTTGAAGTATACAATGTATTACAATAAGTGTCTGACAAATGTTCTGATACAGAGACTCCGTGAAGAAGTCCTCAGTCGCAAGCAAACGCATGTACACAAGTTCATCTTCACACCTTCAGTTGTCGGCTACCTTGATTCTTCGCTGGGCTCGGCGAACCAATGGGTTGACCAAATGGGCTGATCATGGCTGATTAGTTGACCACCCTGGGTGAGTCCCGGACTTGTAGAATTTCAAGCCGTTCCTGGCGCTGACTCGATCTGATCGAATACCAACGAACCCATCCAGGTAGAACCTGCCAGACCCTGCCATCCTCAAGCACATCACACTTCGGCGACTGATCCACTGCAAGCTGGAAGAGCTGTTGAAACCTGGTACAGGCAATTCAGCAACTGTATGTCGTTTGAATATGTCTGATATTGTTTGATATTGCTGCAGAAGTTCAAACGTCTCCAAGTTCTTCTCCACCGAGGAGCCACTGTAAGCTGTACTGGTACATTGGATCAATATTTGCCAGCTCCACCTGAGCAAGGCCATGAATGACTTGCAACCAATACTAACCAACCGCGTTGAATGACTGCAAAACCTGTCAGTAGACAAGCGGCAATTCCGAAGAAAAGCACTGCGGTTCGATATGCCACTGGACGGTACGACCTTGTCCGTCTTGTTTGCGGGTGCATCAAATATGTAGATTGAGATTGGTGTAACACAAATTTAACAACCATGGCAGCAAGTCACATAGAGCAGGAGAAGGAACCAAATCAAGCACACTCTAACATGATTGACAAACTTTAAGGATGTTTTAATGGAGGGCCAAGACCAAAGAACACATTAAAACTCAAAGCACCACTCAATCTGAAACTGCAAAAAAAGCTCTTGTGAGTTTGGCTCTGTGGGTTCGGCTCTCGGGCATTGTCAATGTCAATTTCAGTGGCTTTTGCAACCTTCCATGGACATTTGCACATGTACCTCATGAAGGATAACCTGCATGATTAGCTCTTCTCTGCCTCCTGCTTCTCCCCAATGTCCAACGAAACCTGCTTGGAAGCGGTCACTTTGTCGACCTCAATTCCAGTTGCGATGCGAAGCAAGGGTCAACACAGAGTCAAGACTCTTACACAGCTAAGCTCGAGTAAGCTACAGGCCAGAGTATCGTCCTCCAGTACATCACCCTCGCTGGCCGAAAGCAAATGTAGGATCTCGTCCTCACGAAACGACAAGAGAACAAGACATGTTGATAACGAATTAAAGATTACAATCAATATACAATATAATACAAGCATTTACCCTTCCCACCGTGCGCTTGTGACGCGGGGAATGGACTTGGATGCCCCAGATACCCCGCTTAACCCCGTCGCCCGAATATGTGTATTACTTACATACATGCTTGACACCGAACCGCAAAGAAACTCTGAAAGCATCTGCCCTCGTCGAAAAGTATTCGTCCTCAATTTCTTTCAACTGTTTGTTCATCTTGGCATTGTCTTTCACCTGCTCCACGAAACTGTGCTTTTGCACACAAAGAGTAGCTAAAAGAATATCTCACCAGCTGGCTCTTCTGCTCTTCGAGGTCAGGTCTCTCCTTTGCCACAACAATGCCAAGCATTTGATCCTGGAGACGTCCCGAGCTCAAACTCAAAAATTAGCACAACATGAGCAGAAACCTCCAGGCCAGTAGGTGTGATTGCGAAGTTGAGCAACGTGACCTTTCCACAAGGGAAGATGTGCTTCTCACAACTCAAATGCGAATGCACGTCAGCATCGAAATCAAGCCTTCACTGACGTCTCTGGCGAGTAGTGTGGGTTTGGCCTGACCGAGTTGTTGCGAGAATTGCCCTGCTGCTGATTTCCAGTCTTGGGTCGCTACAGTGTGGTCGTCATGTAAAACTTGAAGGTATTAGCATAATTGATTGACCTGAGTTTCAACATTGTATATAATTGATCAAAGCAAACAGTTTGTTGAGACAAAACTCGTATACCTTCTGAACATCAATGAGGGCAAGGCTTGTCGCCCAATTTGATCGTAAAGCCGGATCCATCTCGAACCTGCAGAAATTCGATTGATCGAACCTGCCCGACCCTGAAACCTTGTCCAACAAACAAATTGGAGACCTGAGGGCCTGCAGACCTCACCCGGTTCCTTCGAATATTGAGATTTTCAGGCTCTGCATCAACGACATGAGCCATGATCAAAACATCCTATATATTATATATAGCAAGTTTTTCACTTTGTTTTTCCTCAGCTTCCTTTCAGGACTATCGTTCTTTGGGCATCCCGCAGTATTTCCGAAGTGCAAACTACGAAAAGGGCACATAATAAACAAAATTATCCAGCAAAATTTTGTGGGTGGTTCTTGAATATCGAGCTACACTGGTCAAGCTTGGCGTGTGGATTGATAAGAGTCAAGTGTCAAGAGTATCAACGACACAGAGTTGCAAATATTCGATCCAACGACCTCGGCAAGTGTTCAAGGTGTCAGAAGTTTGGACAAGAAATGACAAGAACCTTAGAGGATGTTAAAGATCTTAAAGGCTTACTGCAGTCAAGGCCGACAACATAGAGGTTGAGGAGGCTCAACCTTGTGAACACATGTCCTCCGCACCCTTTATGCGACCGTCAGTTCATGTCAGCGTGCCTTCTGCTGCTGGAGAATGGGCTCTAGGGCTGGGTCGAGACTCAACCCAATGTTTTCCAACCTTTCAAACAGACTCATCAAGCGTAGGCAAGACAAAGCGAGATGACATAACGAACCCCGAAAACTCAAGTGTATTCATGTGTATTCACAAAATAGTTTTGATGTTGGTTCCCAACCTGCGTGTTTGTGTGTGAAATGTGCGGAATCACGTGTGATTCAGAAGGCTCTTTGGATGCCAGGCTTACAGCCCTTTTGCTGGAACTATATAAATGACAGCGTACGCAGTGTGTTGACTCGATGTCTGTCCGTCTAAGGCTGCGACAAGATCCACTTACCAAATTGGATCCCCAGCTCCAGAGTTCGCAGGAAGTTGGTCTCGCTCATCTTGCAAACCTGGTGTGTGACGAAGTCTCTATTTTTTAAAGGGGGGTAGGCCGGTAATAGAAGGGGGAGCTAATAGAAGAGAGGTAGCTAGTAGCTTAAGTAGCTACTAGCTACTGGACGAAGGATAGCTTACGCTTCTTGAAGGAAGCTCCCCCCGCCTGAGGGCGGGGCGGAGCTTCCTAAAGAAGCGCTCACACTAATGATTTGGTTTCTAGAATGTTTAGGAAAACTTGACAATCCATGCATGCTATGATATACACACTTCTCTCTTTAATTGACCTCTGAGGAATCCAGCTGAAATAAACAACACCAAACCGTATTTGAAGTCTCAGCAACATCGAACCCCGTCTCAATGTCTTTGCCCATGTTCTTGATGTACTTGTTGGCCTTGCACAAGTAATTGATGCACTTAGGGCTTCCAAACTTATATAATCGAACTGATTCACCTTTCATCATCATTCCATCTTCACAGACTTGGCTTCGCGAGGGCAACGCCTGGCGCTGTGGATCGATCATCAGTGGCCATCTGCGCGATCTATCAATGATGATCGCATTCCTCAGCCATCGTAGCATGTCGGTCTCAATAGCATGCACATCGTAGCATGTCGGTCTCAAGAATGAAATGGACTGTCATTTTTCAAATTGTGCGCACGATCCGCTCAGTCACGGCTTTTTCTGGCATCATCGGCTTGCTATCGTTGCTTCGTTTCAGGCACGGCCCTCTTGGAACTACTTTGGGACACACATGAGCCATCATGAGCCTTACAGTGAGCCTTACTGCTTGGCCAGCGGCCTTGCGCTGGAGCGAGCACGCCTCTCAGCACCTCAGCGTCGCAATGTAAAGGACCGTACTTTCCTTTGGGCCGAAAGCGTGAGGGGCCCTTTGATGCGCCATTTCCAAGGTTGACCTTGAAAGGATCCGGATCCAGTGGGCCGAACTCGGAAGGCACCTGGGAAGCTGGTCCTCAAATGCAACGGTGCCACGTTCCGGACGCTTCTCGGACTCTCCGAGCGAGAGTATGGCCTGGAGGCTGCTTGCGCGAAAGAAGTTTTGAGACATGCCTCATACGCGTCCTTAAGCTCAGCAAACTTTGAGGAGTCAACCTGTCCGTCCGCAGCATCTGGATGAAGACTCCGAGCCAACTGATGGTATCGATGCTTCAATTCCTGCCGGGATGCACATGGAGAGATCCCTAAAATGTCATGGCAGCTTCGAAATCGCAATAGAAGGGAACGTAACATTTCCCTGGAAGGACTCAGGTGGCGGAACTCTTACTTTGAGCCAAATGCAGGCGTGACCATGATGACTGTAGCTTTGCAGCATGGCGCCTCCGAACAGCCCCAAAGCGCCTCACCCTCTGCAAGTCTTACGTTGCACAACCACCCAACTCTGAGCCATTGCTTAGGCACCCCGCTCAATTGACAGATTATCGTTGGGCAAGGAGTAGACAACCCACCTGACATATTGACAATCGAAATCTTTCAAAGCGGTGTCATTGGCACAGTGTTGAATCGGCTAATTTGGCGGCTCACTGTTGAATCTTCACGGGTTCTCCAAGAACGCTCCGCATGTTGCACTCCTCTCTTTAGCCAGGTTCGAAGTTCGGAAGGCAGTTCTTACAGCTCTGTTTCGGTCACTGTCACGAAAGACAATGAGGTTAATATAATTCATCCATCCTCATTGTGCGCAATGGACTCTTTGTCCAACTCTTTCAGCCACTCTTGCTCGAAGTTTGTGCGGTACTCTGACCTTGGGAGTGTTTATGCACCATGCGAGCCGATTTGAGTATTCCCCCAAATAGTATCTTTTGAGCTTGGAACGTGAAGGGGCCAGTGTAGGAAACCATACCGGCAGCCACAATGCAATCGCCGGGCCTGTACATGCAATAGAGTTGCATGGCGGTGGTGGAGGCTTTGGTGTCGCTGTGCACGGCCTCTGAGTCAAGTCATGTCGGTTTGGCAACAACTCGAGCTGCTCGGTGAGCTTGATCACATTGTCAGCCCAACGAGCCTATCATCACAATGGAATAGAGAAAACAGTGAGGAAACGTGCAATTCAATATAGTTTATCTAATTGAGGAAGAGCCAACTCTGAAAGCCACACTGCAAAGCCTTTTCACCCCCAAGGCCGCCAATCAGCTTGTGCCTGCATCAATTAAAAGGACGTGCAGCAAATATTGGAAAGAATAGTCATCAACACGGTGACCTGGTGCTGTTCTAAGGCGTGAACGCTCGCTCCAGCTTGATTTCACACAAGGCCATGTCCTGTTGCAAAGACTCCTGCCGAGCCTAGGAAGAGCCAACCACAATACTTACATGTTGCAACCTTTGATGTTTCGATGTATTTCAAGTCATTGTAAGCTAGACAAGAGATTCCAAGAGGTGTTCAAGTTCACTCTTCATCTTGCCTTTCTTGACAGGCCAAATCTCTAGGTGACAAACGATTCCCTGGTTGTAGTCCTTGGCATGTTCACGCTCGATCAGAATCAGAACACGACGTACGACTGTATACCAGCATGCAGAAAGTTCTGAGAGGGACTTTCCTTGACTTGAACGTCAACAAAGGCCACACGACTGAAGATGTTTGAAGATTCTATTTAACAACAATTGTGGACAAAGCGCTGCTTCCAACTTCTGTATCTTGTCGTGCACTTCTCGGAGGGCTGCTTGGGCTGCCTCAGGCGTGAAACTGTTTCGATCATGCGAAAGGTTCTCTTGCTTCATTGCACCTACTTGCACCTAGCAGTTTCCTGCTTACTAAGCTTGCTACTAGTTAGCAACATTGATAACACATACATACATACATACATACATACATACCTACCTACCTACCTACATACATACCTACATACCTACATACCTACATACCTACATACCTACCTACCTACCTACCTACCTACCTACCTACATACCTACATACCTACATACCTACATACGTACATACGTACATACATAATACATGCATAGCATAGCATAGCATAACACAACATACCAAACCGTAACATAGCATACATTACATTACATCACATCACATCGCATCACATTGCATCACATTACATTACGTTACATTACATCAAATTACATTATATATGTATAATTCATATAACATTATATAGTCATATGATATATACGCACGCACTTCTAATGATTGTTTGTCTTGTCGGTTCAAGTTTGCTTGTCAATCTCTGAGTCTCAGGCTTCAAGCTTTCCCATACACTCTGCTAGATCAGCTTCAGCCTCGATGGATTCTTGAAGAGCAGAAACTCTGCAGAACGCTGCATGTCCAAGAACACCCAAATAATGATCTCAGTTTTGATTCTGTGGTCCTTGGGTTGTGAACCCCCAAGGCCCAAGGATCCCCAATTTGTTGGTTGGGTTAACAAATGTTTGCACACACCTCATACTGACCTCATCTGTACTCGTCTGTATCCGTCCGAATCTGTTGCCTCTTGCTCTTTCGAATTGAAGTCTCCTGCCTCACGGAGAAGCTGCCGCTTGGGCTCCACCGCCTCAAATCCGCATTGCTCGTGAGCATGGGGTCCCCGTCACAAGCATGGAAGGGTTGGTGAATTGCATTTCATGTGCTCTGAAAACTACATGAAGTGTGCTTTCTCGTCATAAGTACACGTATTCGTGCATCACCGATGACTTAAGCACGCCTTTGCGACAAAGTGGTACTTGTACATCGCACCAACCCACAAGCACAAAGCTTCACATGCGATGGAAGCCTCTGCCAGCCAAGAAATGCAAAAGCGTACGTACAATAAAATATCTTACATACACCTCTAGCTTGTGCCTTCTTGATCGCAGCTGGGTCAAAGTCTTCCCTTTCCATGTAGGGTGTGATGGCCTGTGACTGCGAAATTCCACGAGTCTGTTACAGTGGGAAGTTCCCAGCCATGGTACTGTGATGTGCCTGAATCACTCTGTCAGGGATGTTGTCCTTGTCGAAATTGAACAAACGGTCCAAGAGCGCTTTGGGATCCTGCAATATCTCCTGCCATGAAAGACTCGACATACCCTCAACATGTTTCTGCAAACATTAAGCTCTTCTATCACCAAAATGAAGCCTTGCAATGCCCTCCTTTTGGCTCGTCTCCCAATAGTCATCGATCTTTTTGCCAGGCGTATTCGGATCATTCTTCTTGACCTAAAGAACCAAAAAGCCTAAAAGACGTGGGCTTTTCAGCAAGCAAACTGCCCTTGGAATCGCACAGGCTTCAGCTGAAACCTCAGCCAACAAAGCATTCAAGTAGGAACATAGAATATTTATGAATATTTATATTTCTGCTGTGGGGATACCCGCCTACCCCTCCAACCCAACCAAATGCGTAAACAAACCAAACGACTGCCGTGGCAGTTCAACCAATAATTATCCGCAAGATCCAAATAATCCAAACACAAAATTATCAAATATTCCACGCATTGCAAAACTTCAAACACGGTTCAAGGCAGCGACAGCAAACAGCAAGCACGAAATACTCAATGCAGGTCATCCAAGGCTACCGTGACTCAAAACATGGAGCAAGTTTATTCAAAACAACCACTTTTTGAGACGATATAGCGCTGAGGGAGCTCCCTCTCTTTATGTTGATTCTCTGAGTCTTGCTTGCAAAACTTTCCCTTTTGTCCTGGTTTGTGCACTGCTGGCCAAGGCATCAGCATGACGCAAATGGCTTCACAGGCCAAGCGGACACCAGCTGGAGGGTTTGCTAGCGCTTTGACCTCTTCGACTCTCAATAAAACTGGACTATAAACGTGGCAACATGTGTTGGCCTCCTGAATGTGGGCAGTCTTGAGCTTCTTTAAGCATGCGACCTTTGACCAACAATCACGTGTACTCGGGAATCTATTCCAGGCACAGAAACTTCCAGATCTGTGAGACTCACTGCAGTGTCCAGCGCTGGCAAGGCTTCGTCTAGGTCCTTTTGAGCATCATCCTGAACACAGGACATGAAGGGCATCCTCTTTCTTTCTTTATCTTTTGGAAAGAAAATGGAGGTTAAGTAGTGGCAAAGCACACGGTCCACCTCAAGTTTCTCAATGCATGGACTGAGCCTTGATAGCTTGTGTTGCCTCAGCTTTCGTTTTCGCCTCAAGATGGATTGACGGATGCAACAACCGGCAATTGCTGCATCCAAATTGTCTATGAAAACTTTGGAAGTACCTATTGTGGCTCTGGGCCTCTGCTTCTTCGTTCGCTACCTTCGTCGAAACTTCCTGTGCAGCCGCCTTGTCAACCTCGATCACCTAGTTTGAAGCCATGTGCAAAAGTAGAACGGCACTCAAATATGCCACTGCCACTCCATGGCAGAAGTTCAGATCGTGCCTTCATCATTTCACCTACTTCCTTCTGGGTCTTTTCCAGCTGTGGCTTCTTCCTGACATGAAGAGTCCATGAACCTTGCCACAGATTCAGACTAATCGGCGTCAGGCGCACTCAACCAACATCTGCTGCAATCCACTGACCTTCGGCTCAACACTTCAGCAATACTTCAACGTAGGTGTCATTGTTGATCAGGATACAACTATACTTTAACTATACTTATTCATCTTGTAAGACCTACGGTAAATACATACTCTTACTGAATAGCGTTGTGAGTAAAGGTTAGATTTGACAGGCGTTTACCTACCAGGCCTGCTTTTCAGCATCTCCAATCTTCTCAAGGCCAACCTGTGGAAATGAATCGCGGACCGAGGCCTCCTCCTGCTTAGCAGATCCATGCCTTGTAGCGCTTTTGCTGGGTGCCTACCTGAAGAATCAGATCGAATCAGGTCCATATGAGGTAACATGGTGCCAACGGTCGTTTAGGATCCCCATCATGTTATTCTTCATTCCCCATCTTCCCCTTCTCACCGCAACAAACCTTTTCTCCGTTCCAGCCTGCTTTCTCTTCATTGCGAGCACTGAAATAAAGCTAGACAGGAGCTCCAAATACGAGGTCGGAGTGACATAGACATGTCGCCTGGCGAGCATTGATGATGAGCACTGGCGAGATCGCGTGACTAGGTGAACGATTGCTCGGATCACAGGTCAATGGGTCCATAGCTAGGGCCACTGCTTGTTCTTTGCCAAGAACTGCTTGGATGCCAGTTCCACACTCATATGCATCACCTGGGGCAAAGTTCCATGTGCTCGCATGAACGGTTAGAGCTTGCAAGATCAAGTGCATGACTTGAAACAGCTTCAAAGATCCTTCGAACTTGTTCAGCTGCACCTGCAAATGCAACTTTCAGACTTGATCATAAACTCCCACAATATACCGGCGAACTCTTGCTGAGTCTCACGCTGAGTTCAAGGTGAGCTGCTGCTTTGCCACAGAGTATAGTGCTTCAGCTGGCCACTCTCGAAACCAGTTGATCGTACAGCCTCAGATACTTTAGCGGCCCCAGTGGTCCCTCTATGTCAGAGCTTTTGAAAGCTTACGCTGCAGCACTGGACACATCATTCTTTGGATACAAGCTTCTGCGGACTGCGGCCGAATTCCGCTGCATGCTAGTGGTTGCATGCTCCACACTGAGAACTACCCATCAGACTTGCATATGTGTTCATCTCCAGCTTGAGCTCAAAAGGATGTGGCAACCCGGTTAATTACAGCAACATACAGCTTGTTCACAGCAAAAAAAAGTTGGGGCGACGGCAGTTCACCAAGGATGGGAACATGCGAAGACCTGAAAGAACAAATTACCACCCAAAAAAATGAAACAACCCATAGAAAGACATACACTAAGCTGTTTGCGACTGCGGAAGCCATCCCCAACGGGTGAGAACGCAAGGACGACATGCACATTCTTCTTCACCTTCGATTGGAAACTGAACTCAAGGCAATTGCATTCATTGTAGGCGGTATCCAGCCACACATAGCTACCCTTGGCGCACCCTGGAGAGGTAAGCGCTGAAGAGGTTTGCTTTGTTTGGCTGCATACCCATGCTCTGGCCTTGATCATCGATCAATCTCCACAAGTTGACACACATCACAAATATTCACAAATGCAACGTATAAAAAGTGTGTAATTTTGCTACTGTAATATACAGTGCAAGTGTGTCAATGTGCAACATATACACATCTACTCGAGACCCCATGATCTGCTCATAAATCTAAGATCTGTGGATATGCGGCATCTTGCAACTTTGTGGCAGAGCTGTCTGCAGGCACCCGAGATCGCTTCCATGTCCTGCGAAAGATCTAAGGACGCTCTGGTTATGGCTATTCATTTGCCACCAGCTCATTTCTTGGACGGGTCAATTCACATCGTTCCATGCTCAACTTTGTCGATGATGCCCGCCTCGTTTGCATAAAGATTTGGCACGTCGCCACCTGGTGACTCAAAGAGAAAGCAATGAAAATAAAAGTGTCTTCTATGATGACTCACACACTCAGCATGTTGAAGGCTCTGTGTCTTTGGGTTGTAGACTGTTCAAAACATTGTTGATGGCTTCAACGAAGTCCTCTTTGACGATTTGGGTGTCACCTAGGCGGGCAAAATGTTCAATCATATCTTTGCTCTCCAGCCTCTATCGGGATGCTTCAAGGCACAGAAAAGGAAGACTTGCACTTTGTCTTCGACGCCACACTTCATCAAACACTTCTTCACATCCTCAGCAGAATGGTGAATCAAGTTGCACAACAAAATTAAGCATTGAGACCCTCAAAACCCTAATCAAACACACTGTGAGAAGAAGGACTGCAGCTCAGCGTCATCGCGGAACTCGCTCATTCCATAGCCTTCGCAACTCGATCCGATGTTCATTGCAAGGTGCTTTGCAAAAAAAAATAAAACATCAAGCGAACTGTTCTTTCACTGCTAGCCTTTTGCCACTTCAATCTGAAAACACTCGCATTCCTCGGGTGCTCAATGGTGCTTCGCTATCTGCAGCCCTTGCTCCGATTCTTTACTCTAAATATATTATAATTCAAGCAGTGACACTCTTGTTGTCTTTTCACATCGTTTCATCAAATCTTGCCGTGGATCATTCATGTGGGTCGATAAGCGAGTCAAACTCTGGCGACCACTCCCACCAACCTCTCACAAATGCATCTGCCATCCATGGCCGAATCCAAAAGCAAATCCAGGCTCCGCACCCCCAGCAAAAGAACATTTCCACTGGGTTGGCTCAGGATGCGGCCTGCGCTTGACTCTGCAAATCAACTTATCCACAACAAAACTGGTGTTTTGTCTGGTGGCTCCCGAGAGCCGTACAAATCCGCGCGCAATGCTCACAGGCGTCCAAGAACATCACGAGGGGCATTTGCAATGCACTGACCTCAAATCCGGGTAGTGTAACAGCGTGGCATAGCGGAGGCATTACAATCAATACATTCTTATGGACCATTTACTGCACCTTTGAGAACAAAGGCAGCTGCGCTGTTGTATTCGTCCAAGTATTCCTCGATGCAGTCTTTCATCGCCTCTCAGGAATTTGCAGGAGTCCCTAGTAGCGTCCTTGCTCCTAGTAGTGATGCCAAGTAGCGTCCTTGTTCCTAAATGCGATGCCCTTTGCTCCTAGTAGCGTCCTTGCCTCTTTTGCTTGCGCCAAAGTTGGAAGGGCAGAAACGAAAAGCATGCCGAAATCGTGGGCTGGCCTGCACGTCGAGCACCTCTTCATAATATCGCTGCTCTGCCTTCAAAGCTTCCACGATTCATTAGTCTATAGTCTTAAACTGCAAAGTTCCCTTGCTTCCAGTGTCCCGTCATCCCCTAGTATCTCCATCCTATCTGATATCTGGGCCCAGGGCATCTTGATTCAAGAAAGAAGCAAATATGAGACGTTCGCGAACGTAGATGGACCTTTGAAGGACTTCTGTCCGCGCGTTTCTGTTCCTGCTGGATATTTGTGGACAGCATCTTGGCATATCTTGGCTCTGGACTCATAGGGCGCTTGGAAGCTTTCTTCAAGATGACCTGTAGCTGGTGCAAAAGGCATGCAAATACAGAAGCAAACAGTCGTACCCTGGGTCTAAAAGCATGCATAATACCACTGTATATATATATATATGTCTGAGTATATTCTGTGAATTGAAATATCTTGCCAATTCTGGTCAACAAGCCTCTGATCTGCGTGGCCATCCATTTTGAGTCCTGATTATCCGTAAGCCTGTCACCAAAGACCTGCCATTTCACAAATCGCTTCTCTGAAGGCTTCTCCAAACAAATTCCATACTTTCTTGACATGTGACGGTTGGGATGTTCAAGCCGTGCCAGGTGTGCCCTTTGGATTTCGTGGCACCAGCATCTGATCACCACATCCCTTACATTTGCCTTTTTTTTGAGCTCAAGGTGCACAAACCCAGGAAGACCTGCAAGGCAAACAAACAAGTCCACATGTATATATATATATGGCGGGTCGTCAAAATGATGATTCCCAATCGCCAATTAGAACTGAAATACATCATTTACATGGGGGCCCGCTTTTAAAACAATAGCATATAAAAGTCAGAACGGGACTTTCTGAACGTCTGCCATATATATCTGTACAACATCTATCAACATGTGCCGTGTATTGACTACTTAAACATGAGATACTTCGACTTTGCTGCTCAATCATCACATAGTTGGATTTGACTCAAGCAATTTGATTGCTCCTAGCTGTTGAAGAAACCAGCACATGTGTCCTTCCTGTCTAGAGTCTATAGCTATTCAAATGCTGGGCTCAAGACACGCCAAATATCACGCAAATTGAAGAGATAGTGTGACTTCGCCGGTGTTGGCAGCAAGTCCTCCGAGGAAAAGAAGCAGCTCTTCTGAGGTGCGTAGTGCCAAAAAAGCACCAATCAATGCATGCTTCTAACCCAAATCCCCTTGGTCCAAGCCTTGAGCGCTTGCTTGAAAATGCCCACAGTGCAGTGGATCCTGATGACTTTCAAGGGTTCACGAATGTTCACACAATGTGCTGAACCTAACCAACACAAATTTTCCACACAAAATCTCTACCAATTAAAACCTGACTCTCAGCACAGAGCATAGAAGGAATGGTCAATTGAATCACTTCGTCAAACCTGAGTATCGGACAGTGTTGATTATTTACGGAAAACAAAAACGCATTAGTTACAGGAGAAGTGGTGGAGCTAGGACTGTAACATGCTGAGAAGCGGACCCTGAGAAGAAGTAGCCAGCCATGGTCTGAAAAATCTGAGCAATGGACTCATCCTGCCGTCAGAGGCGTTGACGAGGCAATGGAACTGAATTTCAACACTGTTCACAACATATTTATCCGCCATGCAGTCAAGCACAAACATTGGCAAACCTGAAGGTCGGAATAAGCAAGCACCTGAGACATTGCAAAAGAAACGAATTCGAATCGACTCACTCACTGCCTTCCCCCCGCACTTGGAGTCTGGCATTGTAGTGGCGTTTCAAGCCTCGAATTGAACTTTTAATCTGCAACACGTGCAACACGTGTCCGATATGCCATGCAGATTGCATAAATTCTAATTTAATTATACTATAATTCTATATATATAATTATGTCTTTTAGTCTGATCAAGAGGGTTGCCATGAAGGCATGGGCTTCTGGCGTTCGGTGATGAAAGTACGACCTCCTCCCGGAGGTCCCATGGCAGATGCCATGACCTTGAAGTACATACATGTTTGTGGATGTCTTGTCACAACACAAAAATCTGGGGCATCACCATGTCCGTGATCTCAAACTTCTTCAGCTCCTTCCTGCAATTCGGCACAAAAAATGCAAACACGACAAGTGACAAGTGATGCCATATATGTATACTCTGTGAATACTATGATGCGTACATATGCGTACTGCGTATATTATGTATAGTATAGGTGCAAACTGCTGGCCTGTTGTACCAGCCACCATGGTCGTGCCATTGTCGCAGCCTCGCAGAAAAGCTTGGGGTTCTTTCGGGCACTGGAGAAGAGCATTGTGGAGTACATTGTAAGAAACTTGGGTTTTGGCAGCTCAATAGGTGGCTGAGCGCCGTAGTACTCTTTCTGAGGCATGTTCCTGCCAATGCGATATGGTGTATGATGGTGTATGCCCTCAGTACGCACATACTGCAACGACGGTACAACACGATACCACAAATGATGCATCTTCCAACCAAGTTTATGCAACCAATGTCACGCTGTTCAAGAATGCCAGGTTCACAAATCATCGACAAACAGCACCATCTTCTTTCCAGCTGGTGGACCATAGACTCCTCTTCTCCTGTCAGTTTCACCCCAGCTGCTGGCTGCTACGAGGCCTCTTTTGGCAAGCTAAAAGCCCAAGGCCTCTTTTCGAGCTTACTGTCTATGAGGTCTTGGAACCTGGACCACACATTTGTGCAACAGGGCATTGTTTGTCAGACCTGATGCTACACTGATGATAGGTGTTTGCTTTGCAAATTTGGAATAGAAGCTCCCCTTTTCCCTGATGACTTATCTCTTCTTGACTTCTTGAATTTGTGAAGTTCAAGGCTTCGTGACATTGGAAAATCACTCAGGCAACCGCTGGTTGACATGTGTCTGGGCCTAGACACAGGGATTGCAAAGGAGTTTTGGCTTTTGGTAAATGAAAGCAATCAACATGAATTCCTTTTTGTATGGTTAAGTTATTATTGTAATTACCTTCCCAGGGCCACACGGAGAAGTTCACAAAGACGCCTGCCAAGTGAGATTGTACAAAAGGTATGTGGCTGATGTCGTGTGCTTTACCTGCCTTGGAAATTCTCTGGCGCCTGCTTTTGCAGCCACATTGAAATATTCACACCTGGCACATTTTGGAGTCGGGAAACGCAGCTTCTCATGTCGGAGCAATCTCGGCGGACTCTCCAAGCTTTCAAAGGCACACAAAACTAGAGGAAAGCTTTTGAAAGCATTCCAGAATTCATCTAACTTTATTCATGAGGTTGAAGGGCTTGTGAAGACTTCTCACATGAAGTAGCTGCACACAGGAGTGTATCAACAGGGATGGGCTGACTCTTGCCCGTTCCAGTTGGTCCAGGGCACAGCACATGCTTGTCATGCGTGACCAGAATCCTGAACCAACTAAGGTCGCCAGTCATTCGGACCAACGAAGATGTGCAATTTGTCTTGCTAGTAACAAGGGCATTACTACTAGTAGCTAGAAGCTACTGCTCCATTTTCACCATCCAATGCGGACAAAGATCTGAAAGGCATACACCAAGCGAACGGAGTCAACTGAAGGAACCACCTGGCACCGGTAGAAGATCGGCCAAGATTCATGTGAATAGGGCGCTACTAGGAGCAAAGAGCATCGCTACTAGGAACAAGAAGCTACTAGGGGCTCCTGGCCTTACTACTAGGAGCAAGAACGCTACTAGCAACAAATAGGGCGCTTTACAAATGCAAATCTTGGGCATCATGGGCGCACGATCTCTTCATAACGAGCTCCCCGAGGAATCTCAAAGGCAGGGATGGTCTGCATCCTCAAAGTATGGTGAACGGCACATTGACAGCATGCATCCAACCTACACCTCCATGCGATCTCCTCTATGCAAAGCAACTCATGGAGCTGAGAGTGAAACCATGGAATCCATTCACTCTTCTCCACATCATAGAAGTAGTCGTAAATGAATGCGCCAACTTCTAGCCCTTCGAACCTGGGCGATGGTTTCAACAGGTCATCGTTATCTCCTCAAAAGAAAAAGCATGGAAAAGACACTGTTTGAGTCCGATTGATCCAGATCAGCTGCTTGATTCCATTTTGAACTGCAGGAAGTTCGACGTTGAGACCCTGGTCGAGAAATCACTTACACCACGTGAGAACTTGAGACTCGGCACAAGGCATAATTGTTACTACTAGTAAGGCACTTGTTACTACTAGCGATGCACTTGCTTCTAATAGCTTCTTGTTACTACTAGTAAGGCACTTGTTTGCACTCTTCCTTATTCTCAATTTGCCTGCATCTGATCCTCAAGTGTCCGATGTGAGTCCTGCCGTTGTCACGGCGTCAAGTTGTCACATGTGATACTCAATCAAAGTTCAGTGATAATTCATAATATGAGTTCCTTACGTTTGCGCTTGCACTTGGCTTTAGCGACCACAGCGGCAGTTTAGGCACAGCTGAGACACGAGCAGCGCCGCATCCGATGGACATACTCGTGCCGCTTTGTGTTTTTTGTCTGAACAAACGATGCGCCGCAAATTCGATTTGCGAATATCGCTGATGCACTGGGGGTAGTCGTTGGCGGCATTTCAACTGCTGGAAGAGTGTGCAATCTCTGATAAAAAGTATGGCAACACGTGCAAAAGAAATGGCAACACTGACACTTCGCCACTACTAAATGACACGACAAGGCGTGCTGTAGCTGTGACGCAACCCTCCTGTCGCCACCCCTGCTAAAACCTTTCCATGTAACAATGACATTTTGGAGGGAGTTTTTTCTTGCATCCAGTCAAAGGAATGTTACTTCCCACATCAAGAGGAGAGATCCGTATCCAAGCATCAACAAATGTATCAAAACATGGCGCCCGTGCTTAACAAGGAGTTTATTTACCACGTCACACGAAGGTGTTGGCAGTTGCTCCATTGTGTAATTAAGAATTATTTAAAAGTAATATATATATATATATACAGGTGCAATCAACAGTGACGGACATGTCGATTGCCACCCAAAACCAGTCCTGGGAAGCAATTGCCCAAATAAGCTTGGAGAAGGCAGACCTGGTACTTCCTTCACAGCTACCTCCCAATGACCAAACCTCACAAGAGCCATGGGAAATATTGCGAAGCTCGATGGGCCCCAGCTCCACTGACTCTACTGGCAAAAGACGAAAGATATTGAAAGACATTGAAAGACTGAAGCCCGGGCCATGGCGAAAAAGAACAAAGGAGTCACGTGTGGGAGAAACCCAGCCACCTGCGATCCGATGGAAGGGATAAAGAAAGCAGCTCAAGCTCGGCACCAAGCCTCCTCCTTGAAAGCAGCTGCTGGTCTCAACTCTGTGGGTCGAAAGGGCGCAAAATAGCAATCCAACCTCACCACAATAGGAACAAGTGCATCGCTACTAGTAACAAGTGCCTTACTAGTAGTAACAATGTTTGCTATTAGTAACAAGTGCCTTACTACTAGTAACAATAAGAATTTAATTAGAATTGTAATTACTAGCTTCTTGTTACTACTAGTAAGGCACTTGTTCCTAGGCAAAGTGGTGAGGGAAGTTCTCGAGAGACATCCTTACTACCTCACCACAGCGATTCACGAGTCACACATTGTCGCACGAGTCCCAAACGCTTCTCGCTTGGAAATGCTACCAAATGCTAGAACACAGTTCCTTTCTGCAAAATTAAGTCTAGTGTTCATGATAGACACCAAAGAGAATCTCAGACTACTGCATCCGGAAGAGAGACTGCACGAGATTCGAGTCCTGCGTCTGCACCACCTGCAACACAGTTCCAATAGAGACTAATTGTTTTTCTGGCACGTGATCTCTTTGCTGCTACACAACACCACAAAGTCAAAGCTTAAGCTTGAGCTGCAGCCCTCGGCAATATTTGATTTAGTGTCCATGTCTTTGACTTTCCATCGACCATCCTCTACTGCTTCTACCTTCTAACACCCTTACGGGTCCGCCCAACGCCTCCTTGCAGCATTTGCGGACGTAGGCCACACTGAGTGGCAAAAGGTCCTTCCAAATAAATCTTGTGCGATCAAGAAATGATCCGTGTCACAAAAGTCTAAGCCATGTTGGTGGCTTTTCTGAGCAATAGCCTTGCTCATCCGCTTCATCCAATCTTTCTTGTTGGAGACTAAGCCGAAAAGAAAAGACTTTCGAGCTGGCTCCTCGCAGTATCGCCTCAAGCGTGAGCCAATGTCTGGCCTAGGTACACACAATACGAGTCACAAGCCGAGCATCATCTGAGTCGCACAACCGGACTTTGTCGCTTTGAGTTGTTCAATTGCAGCAGCATGCAACAGCAATAACTTCAAGCATACAAGTGGATCAGGTAGAGATGGGAAAGGACATTCAGTAGTAGAGACTTTGCCTGGTCGGTGTGCTAGTGATAGTGGCTTCCTGTACAATGCGTACGCATGCGTTGCTGAGGATCAGACTGAAAGCTGAAGGTCTCAGGCAGTGCCGAAAGCCAAGAATCAAAAAGCGGCTGAAAGCCTCAACTTCTTCACACGAGGAAAACAAGTAAAAAGAGTAAAACCTCTTCAGGCAACACATGACAACACGTTAGCTCTGCAGGCTTAGCAACCCAAGCTCTCAGGCTCCATGTAAATCATGCCTTGGCAAAAAGAAGGCGAAGTTTTTGTGACATCAGCACATGCAAATCGAGCGGAAAGCTATCACTGCAATCAAGAAGCCGCAACGGGACACGGTGGCAGGAGATGCCACCTCCAAGTCCTGGCAAATCGACAGAATTGAGATGAATTCAGCATCAATGGCATTTGAACCAGGCAGTTGTGGCTATTCCAAAAGAGTCACAACCAACAGTTACTAATGTTGTATGCCCAGCCCATGTACACCATGCCACCGACTTGACACTTGCTCATCCCTTCAAGCTATCGATTACCTTAACACTGATGAAACTCACATGCTTGATGACCGTTATCCGTTACGTGTCTTTTTAAAGTATGAGTCCAACACCTGACCTCTACCTCGAACATCATGCGCATCTGGGCAGTCAAGGCCTCGTTTGGCAGAAAAAGCAAAACAGCGGTTGACATGGGCAAGCGATGAGGCTTGCTTCGTTGGCCTTGACAGTCTTCAGGACCCGACAATGATCTCACCACTGACCAAACAAAGCTTTTTGTTGTCGTCAAGGACTGTATTCATGCTCCTGAGTGGCTTTCGCTGTACAGAATTATTCAATGTTCTAAGCACTGCGTTGGGTCGGGGGACTCGATCCATAGAGCATCCACAGGCCCATCAAACATTACCTGAGAGAGGGAGAGAGAGACAGAACAAAAAAAAAATCATTGAAAAGTCAGATGTCGCATTGTCTTGTCATACAGCACCTTCACAGAATGTAAAGTCTACTAGCTGTAAGTATTTTGCCCAGTGATGATCGGGTTGGGCAGCATCTCGAGTGGCATTCCTGATTTCCTGCCATACTGCAGTAATCGTTTACATTCAAGTGGGCAAATTCGCTGCTAGCTTCAGTATATCTTTGGTAGTCCAATGCTATCCTGCTCAATTAAGATAGGTTTGGGGATTGCATTTAGAGGTAATTTATTTATACAATTTGGTGGATGTCTGTGTGTATGTTGCATGGTAGCCACTCGGCAGATTCAACTTGCAATTTGATGCAATTTCATGATCTGTATGTAAAGTGGAAGACGTGTCTGCAAGAGTGCTTTACGAAAGCAGTATACCCTGCAGTACATCGCAAGGGGTCAAAACATCAGCCGACATCGGAGGCGACCTCCGCTGCAACTCCATCTGACCACTCACGTGTGATTTCATCAAAGGATCCATATAGCCTTAGCGAGACCAACCAAACACAAGGTTGCAAAGAGCATCCTCGCCTTTTTGGAGCGTGACGGACCAACAGTCCCGTCGCCTTCAGTAAGGAGTCCAAGTCTCCAGCTGATTCTGCGTGATGGACTTTGGGTTCAAGCAATGTACATGCACCTGGTCTGACAGGTCACTATGAGGCTGCAAAAACCTGATGAAATGCTTGAGTTCCACCTTCTGGTAAGGTGATGCAGCTTTGGAGGGATCTAGGAGAGATGTGCAAGCGCGTTGCAACCTCAGAGCAAACGGACAATCAGCTGATGCTGCGAATTTGGATGAATGCATGCACTTCAGGGGTTAGCCACTAAGTGACAACAATGTATTCACATATCGACTGCGAGCGATTTGAAGGCCTTCAAAGAACGGATGGAGGAAGCGTTTGTATCTCAGATCCGTGCGATCTATAGCAGCAAGTCTTGCCTCCACCTGTTGGACCCACGAGCATCATGCCGTGGCCTTGGAGTGGTAAAGAGTTGCAAAAGAAAACTGGAAACAGGAGAGGAAAAGAGCGATGGCCTCCAACCTACTAGCGATGGCCTCCAACCTTAACAGGAGAGGGAAACCTTTCAGGCCAGTCCAACATAGTCCAACTACAAATTTGCCAAGGAAAAGCTTCGCGTCGCAAACTGCGGCATGGCACATTGCCAAGGAAAACCCAAGACTTGGGATGTGACGCACTTGGATCATGTCCTTGGCCCAGTTCATGTCGCTTGTCCGCCCACTTGAACATCAGATAGCATGACTCCAAACTCGAAAGTACGCCAGGGATCAAAGAGTTCAAACTGCTTCTTGACAAAGTACGGCACAGGTTGAAGATTTTGAGTCAAACCTCAAAATGAACCAACTGCCGCTCAATGCCCATTCGATGCCCTTCGCCGTCACAAAAGGCTGAGCTCTGTCAGCTGTGCTGCCGACTCTCGGTGTGGCATGCCTCTTCCAGCCTTAGCAACATCCAAGGTCCGAGCATCCCGGGGGAACTGTAAAACCTTGTAAGACCTACTAGCGATGGCCTCCAACCTGCTAGCGATGGCCTCCAACCTACTAGCGATGGCCTCCAACCTACTAGCGATGGCCTCCAACCTACTAGCGATGGCCTCCAACCTACCAGCGATGGCCTCCACCCTAGCAGGGATGGCCTCCAACCTAATAGCGTCTTCCTTTCATCTTGGCTTAAGGCCGGCCATAATCCATCTGTGGTCGTTCAACCTGCCATTGGATAGAAATCCAACACTCTTGTCAATTCACATTGCAGCTATGCAGTTTCTAGCATGTCAACTTCGACTCATTGACAAAAGTGGAAACACGAATCTGGCCCCTGGGAAGAGATCGGAGATGATGTTCTCAAAAAGGGGCAGATCATCTTTGAGAAACTTGGGAACCTCGATAAGGCCAACAAAATAAGTTACAAAGTCGAAGCCTTGCTGAAACAAAAATGTTGAAAAGCAAAGAGTTGCTGCAAAGAAGTCCCCATCTCAGTAAAGCTGTGAGCTGTTAAGGCCATGTCATTGACATCTCGCAATGCCCGAAGCAAGATTTGAGACCTGATTCAAGAGCTCCAGATGATGTTCTGCATCTTTCTAGTGTCTTTACAGTAACTTTGGCACTTTGCACTTCTGGATGTTGATGCTTCCAGCCAGTCTCAGAATCCAGCTCACTCTGCTCTGGATACTGGCGTTTGTTAAGCCCCGCAGCTTCAATCACAGTTTTCACAGCACGCATTCCGTAGTCCTTTGTGTTCGGGATGAAAGCCGGACATCTGAGGAATCTTGCGATGCTGATGAACACTGTCATAACACTGCCGTGAAACACATTGGACGTATCTTGAAAACATGTTTGGCTATTCGCTGAGACTGAGAGGCGTAATGAGACTGCGCCGAGAGTTGCTCGCTGCAGAGTTGGAAAGTTGTGACCTGAGACGGGGATCGACCATGTTGAGGCCACTAAGCATTGGAACAAACATGTGTTAACCAACTCATAAACCTTCTCAACATAACAGGACTAGGGTGGATTGTTGCATGGCTTCAATTCCCTTTCCAAGCAATGGACCATCTTCTTGGCTAGGTGGCGGCCCTTCTCGAAGCCAAATGCATAGAAGCTGATCTCTCCAATGAGACCTTTGAAGAAGCAGAAAAGGATCAACGTTACGCAGGCTTAAAGTGTTAAAGGGTAAGATGAATGTATATCTAACTTGCCGCCGACCGTAGTCTGGAACCATCATTGCCTCGGCTCGACAACCCTTAAAGGGGTTGGCACATGTTCCCTAAACATCTATTAACCAAATGAATAGTGCAAGAGCTTCTTCAAGGAAAGCATGAGCTATCCTGTGTACAGTTACTAGAAGCGTCCTACTCAATATTTATAGCTACCAAATAGCTTACCTCTTCCGAGAGCGGCCTCCCTCCCTCTGCGCGTTAAAAAAAGAAAACATGTGAGGCTATGACCATGGGTCTAAAAAGTGCCGCCAGATTGTCAGGCAACTCGGATCGACCGGCCTCAGCCAGGTGCGTCAGTTTCAAAAGTATCACTCACCTCAACTGCCCTTGGGCGCGGGCATAGCCAGGGTTCATTGTGATGAACACGTTAAACCTGTCGAAATGCACGACATATCTGGCTGAAGAAGTGAGATAGCTGCGAGAGCTACAAAAGAATTTTTGGGCATGTGACGTTGGCTTCATGGTGATCAAAGTTGAGTCAAACCTCAGCAATGTGGCAAAGCTGGTCATGACTCCACCCCATCATAGGGCAAAATGAATAAGACACATGACCTTCCACTATGAGCTCCAGGTATCAAGCTCCAGTTCGCAGGTATCGTTGTAGGACTCCAAGGACTGCTTTGCGGTGAACAGCTGCAACCTCACCAAAGGTCGGCGTGATATGCGTCACACCATCGACGTCGATTCAAAAGCTGAGCGTGACAGTCTTCCAATGCTGGGCTCCCAGCAATTGTTGCGCAATTACGCTAAGCACTTCAATGTAGATGCGGTTGAACCTCATTGTGACTACGCCGGTCTAGTCTCGCAGGGAAACATAGCGGGTGCTACTTGGCTGCAGGCTCATCAAAGCAGCACCAAGCACCACTCGATGCCAGTCCTGTGAGTCTGTTGGGCTGGCGAGCAAGCCTTGTATAGCCTTGTGCTTGCATAGAATCTCAAAAGGATTCAAAAGGTCATATCGCTCGTCTGCTCTTTTCTCTTCTTGAAGGAGGCACGGGGGTTAAATGAGCGGACATTTAGATCTTGATCTTGACTGAAATAGGTGAACATATACATAACACGGAACCAAAGATGCTGGGGGTGGGAGTTTTCCAATTACGTTTAGCATAGCAAGAATGCCCCATTGGATTGCACATCTCAAGCAATCCAGTGAAGGCTCTGCCTTTGAAGAACTTGCCAACCATAAGGTAGTCCTGCGGCTTTTACAGCTGGGCACGAAGCCTGCCTTTAACCATGTGCAACGCGCTTGCAATCCACAGTTCGCATATCTGGCAACAGAATACTCTGTACAAGCAATGTCAAGTCATTTTTCTAGACTCTACACCAAAAAGAAAAATGAACACGGGTGAACACACAAAAACAATGAACACTCTGTCTGTCCATCTCGGGTGAGCAGTTGAACACGACACACCTAGGAGCAAATGAGGTAGAAAAAACATGGTACGAAAATCATGATCCCAACAGCAAATCGTATGATTTACAAGCGGCGGTCTTCATATGTGGTGATGGCGGCAACCATGGTAGTAGCAGTAGTAGTACCAATAACAGAAAACACAGTAGTAGCAGCAGCAGCAGCAGTCGGAGTAGGAGTACAAAGGAGTAGGGGTAGGAGTAGGAGGAGGAGGAGGAGCAGTAGTAGTAGTAGCAGTAGGTAGTAGGTAGGTAGGTAGGCAGGCAGGTAGGTAGGTAGGTAGGTAGTAGGTAGTAGGTAGTAGGTACTAGGTACTAGGTACTAGGTACTAGGTATAGGTAGTAGGTAGTAGGTAGTAGGTAGTAGGTAGTAGGTAGTAAGTAGTAGTAGTAGTAGTAGTAGTAGTAGTAGTAGTAGTAGTAGTAGTAGTAGTCGTAGTAGTAGTAGTAGTAGTAAAAGTAGTGGTAGTAGTAGTAGTGGTAGCAGTAGGAGGAGTAGTAGTAGTAGTAGGAGTAGTAGTAAAAGTAGTCGTAGTTGTTGTTGTAGTAGTAGTAGTACTGCTACTACTAGTTGTAGTAGTAGCAGCAGCAGCAGCAGTAGTAGGGTTAGAGCCGGATTCGGAAACTAATCGGTCGGATTCTAATCCTAGTTGCGGAATCCTAGTTGCGGAATCTTGACAGTTGCGGAATCCTAGTTTCGGAATCCTAGTTGCGAAATCCTAGTTGCGGAATCCTAGTTGCGGAATCCTAGTTGCGGAATCCTAGTTTCGGAATCCTAGTTGCGGAATCCCAGTTGCGGAATCCGACCAAACAGTTGCGGAATCCTAGTTGCGGAATCCTGCGCAGTTGCGGAACTCGACTTTATCCGCAGTAGTAGTAGTAGTAGTAGTAGTAGTAGTAGTAGTAGCAGTCGCAGCAGCAGCAGCAACAGCAGCAGCAGCAGGAGCAGCAGGAGAAGGAGCAGCAGCAGCAGGAGCAGCACCAGCAGCAGCACCAGCAGCAGCACCAGCAGCAGCAGGAGCAGCAGCAGGAGCAGCAGGAGGAGCAGGAGGAGCAGGAGCAGCAGAAGGAGCAGGAGCAGCAGAAGGAGCAGGAGCAACAGCAGGAGCAGGAGGAGCAAGAGGAGCAAGAGAAGCAGCAGCAGCAAATACATGATGTACGTAGTTAAGGAGGTCGTTCCAATGTCGTTTTGGATGTCGTCCGGAGGGTCGTTCCCCAACTAAATAACACATTCCACAAAGACAGAAAACATCAGAAATAGCTGCGGCGGTGCGTGGAATTCTGAACGAAGGATCCCACAATACTACTTTACATCAATCCACCTTTTTTTCTGGCTCAAATGTACGATCTTATATAAGCTTTTCCAAAGTAAAACTTGTCTTGGGCAGTCCCAACAGAATTGCGTGTCTGTATAAGCAATAATTATAAGCATCACTTGCTTGATCTCCTATCATCTCCTCTCTACATGCTAAGCTTCAAGCTGCTTGGCCAAAGCTTTTGCGAGATCCTTCGTCGTCTCCGTCTTGCCAGTGCCTCCAATTGGCCGATCGCTCCGGTTTGCGCTAGGCTATGCCGCTACGCTCCGGTGAGCATGGCGCTACGCGCCTGCAGGTCCTGCAGGAGCACCACCCAAGTTCAGACTCTGGGCTCCCATCAGAGTCATATAGCACCTGCCAAAAAACAAACTCAGAACTAGACTTCTCAGCCTTAGATGGTCATCTGCGGCACATGTCTGTAAGAGGTGTGATGACCAGCCGGAAAGAGTTTCCGAGGTACTCATAGCCTCAGAACAGCTCATTTACTTACCGCATGTTGCAGCTGCTTAAGGAGTCAAAGCTTAAGGCTCTCGCCATACGGGAAGGGAGTCTGCACCATACGAACCCACAGATTCTCAGTTGACCTATCATCTACCTGCATGAGAGATGAAGACAGGCAGAATTTTGCGAAGAAAAATACTTCTTCAACAAGGAGCAACCTGTACTGATGCCAGAATGTGACAAACTGCAGCTGTATAGCTGTATTATTAAGGGCAATGTGACAAGCTCAAGTTAGACATCCCAATGGACATGTTGCACGACCCCACCAAGTGTGGCTCGGTACTGCTTGACGAACTTCACAAGAAATGATTGTAGCAAGCTTAGTACCGCAGTATTGGGCTCCAACCTACTAGCGAAGGCCACCAACATACTAGCGATGGCCTCCGAACTTGTAATACCCATAAGTTCCATTTTGAAAGCTTGGCCTCCCAGTAGTACCGCAATTGAGAGATCCACTCAAAGGAGAAGACGTCGGTCTGTAGCAGTTGTTTTCAGTGCTTGCCAGTCAGATTTTCATCAGTCTTGGCTTCCAACAATGTTGTCTTTGGCCATCTTTTCAACAGTGTCCTGATGTGACTGATGAGAAGAACCTTTCGACAGTGGCCTCTGTCTGACAGAACCAAATCCTTCGCATGTACATCGATCACGATCAAAGCGCCGATACTCATTCGCCTTGTTTTGGGCAGCAACAATGCTCTGCGTCTGCGATCATCTACTGACATATGTGCCATGAACACATATGAACCCTTTGGAAATTGCTGCGTGCACTCTACCGAATCTGGACTGGATGCATCTGCATGTGCTTTGCCCACACTCTGCGGCTCTCACTGCAGCTTTGAGATGTCACCACGAACCAGTCGCACCAGGCCCATTAGCCTCGAGGAATGCATCGGTAAACACACCACAATCATGTGAGATGTTGACGGGTCTGCTTGGGGTTTTGGCTGGTCGGAGAGCTTTGAGAAGTAGTCAGACAAGGCCTGAGCAAAATGCCAAAGAGATGTGCATTGCTAAACGCGTCTATGTTGTTGTCCAGGTACATTAAATTTACACTCGTTTGACTCATTTGCATCTAGCCACAGTTTTGCAGCTTGACTTTTTCATGAGCAAGGTGGCGGACTGCAGCGTCAATGGCCTCTTCCACTTCAGCAGTCCAATGCACCTGGAAAAAGAAGCAACTTTCATACGTAAAGTAAGTCCATTCTCCAGGGCAATCATAGCAAGAATTTCAATGCCGGTTCAAGAATCTGGATCACTTGACAAGGCCTGGCTAGAGTTCAGACACACTTGTCCAGGCTGCTTGAGCACCTGAGCTGAGGATGCATGATGAGACCCACTGCTTCCACCTATTAGAAACCGCCTCCAACGGCCTCCAACCTACTAGCGATGGCCTCCACCTAATAGCGATGACTCATTGCTTCGACTGCGAAGGATCTGGCCCATTCTGTCCTTGGAGTATCGATGTATGTCTCAACGCCGATCTTTATGACCTGCACCGACGGAAATGGTCCTGTGCCTGGTGCATGATCGTGAATGAAATGTCTGTTGCCTCCCGAATCGCTGCCAGCATCTGATTCTCAACTTCGGTCATCCATGTTTCAACCTGCATTGATACTTGACGTCTATTAATACATGGCTCAAGACGCGCAGAGCTGATCTGACACAGCTGAGCCCGTTGAGCCCTCAGCATTCTTTCCAGTTGTGTGCACCGGGCTAACCTTCAGTCTGGTGACTTTCCATAAAAGAGAACAAGGTACGACGAATCAAAAAGCATAGGAGCAAGGACGCTACTAGTAGCTCCTGGCCTTACTATATTATTATATACTAGGAGCAAGAAGCTACTAGGAACGCTAGTAACAATAGTAGCTATTTGCTAGGAGAATCATAAGCAATAAGTGCCGAACGAAGTCAATGATCTCACCTTCTTTAGAGACCATCTGTGTTGCTGACCTTCAATGAGCCATTAAATATGTGTGTTAAGCAAAGAAAACAAGCATCCGAAGACGCTGGCGTTCCACATCTGTCAACAAATGTTCTTCAGCTGATGGTTCTCTGCCTGCACTGACTCGTTTCAAGTGCGCATCGGCACATCAGCTGCTGGGGCTGAAGCAAATCGGATGTGAAAGTGAGCTTCTTCATGGCCTCAAAAACCTGAGTGGAAACTTTGGTTTGGGGTATTGCATGGTGCATCAGTATGGTGGTCACATGTTCCAAGAACCAAGTGCCTTGGAAAGGAAGGGCTGCACTCTCAGCGGGTCCTCTCATTTGTTGCGAGAGCAGTACCACTGAAATCGTCAATGTGAATGCCCCTGCAGGAAACCATCCCAACTTAATCAATTACATGGTTCACAGTTTAGAGTATAACATGGCTTTCACACTGCAAATGCTCAGGAGTGAGACGTTTGGCAGTGCAAGTCTTATGACGTTAAAACATATCAGAGAATATGTCCAGAGATTCTTCCACAATGTGTTGTCCTTTGTCTGCGACAGGATTTCCAAAAGCTCATCCTTAGAGAGGCAATGAACGACACCGAAATCTGAAACATCGCACCAATGTCTGGTGGAAGAGCTTCACCAAATCTTTTGACATGTACATCTTCCCAATCTATCTGATCACTCTCCTTTTCAAAATCCCAAGGTTCCCCACGTTGGACAGAAAGTAGAAGCGAGCGAAGGCTCCGCGCTTGGTTTCCAAGTAGTCGTCCAAGCCTCGATGATCGGCACAAGGCGCCAAAGTCAATCTTCAACTTGTGGAGGGAAACGTACTCGGCTCGGTTGGAGGCCATCGCCATTAGGTTGGAAGCCATCGCTAGTAGGTTTGTTTCCAAGAAACAGGTTGCAGTTGTGCCTGCTACGCATCCTGAAGTCCTGAAACGAATCTAGACCTGGAAAATGTCGATCCATCTTCTCCAAGACTGCTGCCTTTTTGTACCATGTCCAAGTCCGCATTGGCATTGTTCCAGGTTTCCAGCAACCCTTCCTGCGCAGTTCAAGCACAAACAAATGTTATTCTAAGCACATTTTAAAATGAACTGTGAAGAACAACAATCCATCATGAATGATGGAGTTACGTTTCCAGTTGCATTGGTTTTGAGGATCGGGTTGCTGCTGACTTGTGATTGCCAACATCTTAGGAGCGCGCCATTGAACAGGCTTGCAAGGCAGCTCCGTTCTGATGAAGGCGTGCCATGGTCTCAGAGGATCAGGTAAGCTTTGCCAACTCAAAAATCACAGCAATTGCTTTGTCGGGCTATAAATCTACTGGCCTGGCGCCATTTGCTGTCAACCAAGCGAAACTTTTTGCCTAAAAACTCGTACAGCTGCTCTCTGCAAAGCTGAGCAAAAGCCTCGTGTTTACCGTGGCCTTCGGTGGGAAGCTGCTTCATGATGTCGGGCGAGTCAAAGATTGGCTGCAAATACATCCACGCCTCAGAGACAAAGTCCATCAACGAAGTGTTCTCACTATTTGCATCTGCAGAAGCGTTTCGAACACACCAACTATTCACTGCAGCAGCACCTCATATCTAAAATGCAAATATTTACATAAATGGAATCTGGAGTGATGGAATTAATGCCTCCTGAATTTCAAGGACCTCAGCGATGGACCCGCTGCACTTTTAGCCATCCATCCAAGCACTCGGACACGTACAAGAGCTTCTCTGCCCAGGCCTAGGCTTAGAATGTTCAACATGCCGCTTGCAGAATGAACACTGAGATCATGACATCAATATCTTCCTTGAAGGGCTTATTGAAGGGTGAGAACTGCATAGCCTGCCGCAAGATCTGAAAAGCTACAACAGTTCTGAGCAATGGCATTGGGTTGGTGGGTGGGAAATCTTGCTTATCTAGTGGAGAGTTCGCAAAACAATGCAAAAACAACCCATCCATCACTCTGCTTGATATGTCAGTGGTGACCCACTTTCAAGCATTTTCAAGCTGTGCTGGCGAATCCTTGAGAGTCAAGGTACTTCCGGAGGCGCTGTTCACCTAAAGAGCGCAGCTCTGGTGCCACCGCCACGATGCGCCTTTTGACTTCACTCACTTCCAATGGCTGAAAAGTCAGCAAAGACTCGTAGAGCTCTTTGTCTTTACGGATGGCCTCTGCAATCAACTCAAACTTCTTCTCCTCGGGGCTGATTGGTGGACTCACTGCAGAGCTTGCTGACTGCACGGATCGTGGTGTCTCAGCCTTTGCCGCTTTAGCTTTCTTAGGAGTCTTGGGTGTCTCAGGCTTTGTTTTGTCCTTTTCGGTTTTCTCCTTGCGCGCTCTTTTGGGTTTGTGCGGAGTTGGAGCTTCTCGAATCGAGTGCAAGAACGCAGTGCCGCCGTCGAGATAATCCACAATGTCGTGAAGCCTGCGGATCATAAAGTCCCTGCTGGAGCTTGGCTTCAAACCGAAAAATTGCATCCATTCCGAAAGTTCTTCGTCTGTCATCAACTCTGGCTGGAGCAATCCCAAATCCGATTGCAGTGCCTCAGATTGAGCTTTCTTGGACTCCTGGACTGTCTCAGCTTGCGTGGCAACGAATGAATCGAGTTCCAGGTCCAAGTCCGTCTTGTCCAAGGCAGCTCTGATAACTTCAAGCTCTGCTTCAAGGTCAATCTCCGGATTTGCTGGGACAGCCTCAAATTCCTTCTCTGGAATTGCATCACTTGATCGAAATCTATCCTCGTTCTTATCGTCAGAGGAATCTCGACGGAGTTTCTGTCTGATTTGCAGCCTCTTGAGCAGACTTTGTTTTCCTGACCGTGGCCCCTTAGGGCTCTCGGCCATCTCCACCTCTTCATTTCTTTCAGAACTTCTCTCATCGAGTTCAACTCTCTCCCGCTTGGAGTTCACTTCCTCCCCAGGGCAACTACCGTTCTCGGGCTCATGGAGAAGTCCACGTTTCCACCGTCGGCTTGGTCTGATGGCCATACCACCTGACAGAGCAGTTAAAGACAAGTTTGTGCGTGTGTCTACGTGTGCGTGTGCCTGTGAGTGTGCGCGTGTCTTTCCTAGCTTGATCCAGCTAGCCCAGCAAAACAAGCTTCCTTGAATATAGTCTATGTACAGTAAGCTTGTTGCTGCCATCGACAGAACCCCTTTGATTGGCTTTGATAGCTCATTTTTTGTAAGTGCTGGTCAGTACTTCTCGTGCCTGGAACAGCTTCTTGGACCGACTGGCAACTGCTTGGCAAGGCTTCGTCTTCGACGGACTCGTTGGGTTCCGTGCAAGACTCCCGGGGAGAACCTCTGGCCGGGGCCTCGGCTTCTTCTTCATCACTGCTGACCAGGATTGTAGGTGCCAAACTTGCATAGAGAGCACCAATGTCTGTCATTGAATCTTTATCACCTTGCCCAAAATCACGGAATTCAGAACTGTCGAACTCCATGTTCAGCTGAAGAATCTTCCAGGTTGGCAAAGATTCCAAGTCATCAAGTCATCAAGCTAGCTTGCGGGGTCACTGGTCAACTAAAATAATTAGTTCTTCATGATCACAACTCACAGGGCAGGTTTCATTAGGTTTACTCACATCTGAAGCCGTTGAACTGTCTGGAGCAGTTGGAATGGTGAGCGCCCTATCAGACCGCATCGTTGACAAGTTGTTGCTGTTTATCCTACTCCCGGGCGTGTTTGCCTACAATACAGAATTCTCTCATGAATTGTCCGATCAGAAACCTGGTACCTGCTTCAACTATCTGAAGCTGGAGCCGCAGGGGCCGGGACTTCAGCAGGAGCCGCACAACTGTGACGAGGCTGCATGAGGCTGCGCAACCACACAAATGCGAATGCGAAGCTTCTCAGCTGCGAAGCTTTTTCTCCGGATGCGGACAAGCTTCTTGTTACTAGTAGCGATGGCCTCCAACCTAGTAGCTTCTTATGTAGGACAAAAAACAATTGTTGCATTATGTTGCATTGTTTAATTATCCAACAGTGACCAATTGTTGCCGTCGCGTTATGAAGCAGGATTCCCCACGGTGGAAGCATGCCTGCGTGATGACAATCTGCTCGTCGACCAAAGCAATCACCTCATCTGCACCTGCACAGAAAAGGTGTCTGACATATTGTGTCCCACACAGGGTCACCACATGGTTGTCAGGAATTGCCGTCAAACGGCCTTTGAGAATGTAAGTCTGGGTGTTGCGGTATGGCCTTGGTGAGACTCACTGCCCAATGGAAATGCTGCTTCGAGGAACCGACTTTCAGCTCCAGTTCTTCGAACTTCTGAGCACTGGACTCGCTACAGTCAAACTTCATGTTATCCCACCTCGAGAACGTTTACACACACTTCTTTCACGAGAACCGTCCCGTTGATTTCTGTGGGGTGAGAAAAGCCCCAACTTCGCGTGTTCCAAGGGATTGGCGCATTGATCATGCTTGTGAGCTGCGTCTCGATGGACAGCTCCTTCCCGCTCTTCTCACCAATATCGTTGATCCTGCGTCGAAAAAAGACTGAGGCCAGCATCCCTGTCGAACTGAACCGATCGAACTGCAACTTGGCACCGCACTTTGACACATGTTCAAGCATGCCTCATGCAGGGAAAGAATGAAGCTCGCGTATAAATCAGAAAAAGTTGATCAGGCGCACCGATGGAAACAAAGTTCTTCAGCGTGAAGTCCTCCATCTCGGGGCCTCGCACTGTCTACGGTCAGGCCACTTGCTTGGAAAGGCAAGTGAAGAACAATTGCCAAAATGCAAAGTTCCAATTTTTAAGGCCCCAGCTCACATCTTGACCAACCAATTCGCTGACCTGGTCAGACTTGTCCACAAGATACTGGAGCAACATGAATAGTGCGAGTGCTTCTTCAAGGAAGCTCCCCCCGCGGCAACTTCCTTGAAGATGCGTGAGCTAAAACGTGTCCAGCTAGTAGCAGGTTACCTAGTAATTGGTTTGTTTAGCTCTTTAATTATAAGGAGCAGCTTGATTAAGTAGGGGCGGGCTTTAAAAAGCAAAAAAGGAACCGTTGTGCTAATTTCTGTGCCTCTCTCTCCTATTTACCATGACCTGCGCCCAGTGCCGCTCGCGCATGCCCGCATTTCGAAGGCCAGTGACCTTACCAAAAAGAAGTGCATACTTTCAACTTTCCAGAAAGCAAAAATATGGAGTATGACTGTTTTCATTTCATCCTATGGGATCTTGCTAATTTTCCACCGCCCAAACACCAAGGAAAGGGTAGCAATGAAAGTGACATCATGTGTCCTTGTGTTAATTATGGTTGCCAAATTCAGGTTTGCACGATTGGAAGGTACGGCTGAAATGCATCAATTTGTTCCTGGCCAAAGAATGCACTGCCTGCACAAACAGAATACAAAAGACTCTCGCAAGACTTCCAGCCTTGATGTCTCTTGCAATCTTCAGCACTTTTCCGGCATCTTCGCGCTTCTCCAAAGCCCTTACCTTCCATGTTCAACATAGTTCAACTCAATATAAGCTTATGCATGCGGAGTATCTCCGGCACTCGTTGTCCTATCCATGAGGTGCCCACCGTCTTGAACAGCGTCTTGGCACCAGACGTCACCCATTGTTCACCTGCAAACTTCACCCATTTTGCCAACAAAGAAACCGAAAACTTGGCTCTGCATGGCTCTGCTATGTCGTAAGCAGGGCAGTATCGCAGTATTTGGCATCAATCTCTTGGAATGGCCCATTCCTAAGTTGGACAATTGGCTCAGACTGTCAAGGTATCATGCATTCTCCACTCCAAGACTTGGGCCTTGGTTGTTTCACACATCTTTGTTTAGAAAGGAAACATTTAATGGTGTCACGTCCAATGATTCTTTGGCTCTCTCAATATAGTTCTTTTGTCCTGCCTGTTTGCAGGCTTATAAGTCTTGGGCATCCATTTTTCGGAGTCTTCAATCCAATGATAGGCAGTGACCTTCGTCTTCAGTGACAAGCGGGCGTGTCTGTCTAGAATGGGCGTGTCTGTGCCACAACGTCTGAGGTCAGTCTCAACATGTCTCAACAGGGTTCACCGAATAGGCCGAATAGGGCTGCTTCGAACCAGTCCTGTGTAGTGCAGGCGATACTGATGGTATCTTTCTTTTCATTCTCCACCCGTTCTATCATTATAACGTTGCAAATACTGCAACATGTCAAGTAGAGTGCCAAATGATATACAATACTTTCGGACACCTTTTTACAATCTTACAATATATATATATACATTAGTAATATATGTATATATAACTTGTCAAGGCATGTATCACATAACCTGCCAGAAAGTATGACAGAAAATACCTCCTGCAATACGCCAGATAGTATGTCAGCATGTTTACCAGAACATGGTTCAGTGCGTATAATATGCCATCTTCAATATCAGTGCACATGTAACAACATATTCCGCTAGGCTAGAAATGTCAAAGCATGTCACAACGCAAGAGGATACAGATGGGCACCAGCACACCTATCAATGCATATGCCAGCTCATTTGTCAGTATAGTATGTCAGTACTTATCTCCTTCCTTCTTCTAAATCACGTACGGGGTGGGGACTACTCATTACTCAAAGCACAGCAAGTCTGTAAGTAGTTACTTTAGTTCTTGCGTCCTTCCTTTCTTCCTTTTTCTCTGTTCCTTGATGCTCTGCGTAATTGCGCTCAACTGATTCTTGGCAAGGGCTCCAGGGCAATGGCCAGCTTGGAGCTTTGCTGAGGCTGCAGCCCACAAGTTGGAGAAGGGCTCCCACTCCTGTAGAGTATAAACAAAAGTGCGAACGAATTCCAAAGCACCGTCACCCCAAAGAAGCATGTGTCGATGAAAAAAATAATGAAAAAATCTCTATTAAACAAATAGTATTACAGAACTATATTATATGTATAATGACTGATCTTGGGGCATTGGCCTCCATTCCCGTAGCGAGTAGCATGCACTGTAGTACTGTGTCCATGTGACTGAACTGCTACAGTGCCTTTTGCAGCTGCTGCAAATGGCTGTAGTCAGACGATTCTTGCCCAAATAGTGCCTATCCAAGAAGAAGCGGTGAATGCTGAGCACAGTGCAGGTGCAACCAAGCCCAATCAAATAGTGCTCAGTCTGTGCAAGAGTGTCTGTGCAAGAGTGTATAACTTCATAAAATGAATAAGATGCTTTTATCAGGTCAAAGAGTGTGCCTCGCGAGAATTGAACAGCTTCGCTTGTCCACTGGCTTGCTTCAGTCTCTCGTTCACACCTGGTTAGAACACGCAACCTTTTTGCCACGTGTGTCAGGGTGGTTTTTACCGATTCCCGCATAGAAAATGTAAGATCCAAGAAGCAAGAATCTGTATATGCCAAAGCAAAGCTCAAACTTTGTCGTCTCGTCTCGTCCGGTTGGACATGTCTCGGGGCTTCGACTCTCTACATTCTCATGGATCTCCTGAAATGGGCCATGCATTCGCTGCATACTCATGGGATTGGGGACATTGTGCTGGATTCTTCCACACTCAGTGACAAGCAAGGTCAAAGAAAAAAACGATACAAGCTGGGCAAACTGGCCTTGATGTTGGCCAAGTTGGAGTACTGGGAAAAGGTATCCACGATTCCGGCCTAGCTTCTACAGGCTCTGTAATGAAGCGTCTTGGTTTGTCTTTGTGAATGACATCTGTCATCTGCACATCTCCGCCGGCCGATCATGGTCCAAGCTTCACACCAGATCTACAAGATTTTCATCGAAGTCGGTTTGCTCCTGAAAGTTTGCAGAAATCACTGTGCAAATTCACGACGGCGTCTACTAATACTACATCATTCTCTTTGGGCCTGCTGCATTTCTTTAAGGTAGCCTTTCTCTGCCTTGGCTAGGTCTTGCTCCACCTGGCCAAGAAGGTACAAGCAAGGAAAACCATCGCATTTATGCGAGTAACCAAGGTGCCAAGTTGCCTGTGCCATGAGGTCAAAGGTCTGCTTTGGGCACGCAAAGACCCGCCAACGCTGGTAAGCATCGTCCTTCCAAATTGAAACCATATAATATATCTATATATTATGTATAGACTGTATAGAGATATCGCTTTATTTATCTTTATTTCCCCTTAAGATACGTCAAGCTCAGAATGTTCTACGCTCTTTGAACAAAGAGGATCGAGCACTTTGAGCACTCGTTTGGACTGTTCTGTTCATTGCATCTGCCATCTGTCAAGACTGTGAGAATCACCGAGCGCCACACACTGGTGAGCTTAACTTCGAACCCTTCAAGAACCTGCTTTCAGCAGTGCTGACAGAGAGCATGGCATGTGTTCATCTTCACACAGGTTCCTAGTTCCTCTTCGCACATCTGCTTCACCAAGACACTGTAAAGATTTGAATGCACTTGGCAATGTCCGGAGACATCCTGCAACGATACGCTTCTTACTCTTGGAGATCTCGCCACACATGATACTTGCAGTGGACTATACATACAATTACGTACTGCATGTACCAAGAATAATGTTTATCTGGGGTAAGGACTTTCCAACCTCACCTGGCACACCGCCTCATGACAAAGACAATGAAAACAAACTGCAATCAAATTCTCTTGACTACTAGGAACAAGGACGCTACTAGGGGCTCCTGGCATCGCTACTAGGAGCAATGCAAGGAAGCTACTGGCCTTATTACTAGGAGCAAATAGCTAGTAGTAACAAGAAGCGTTCGAAATCATTCTGTCAATGAATTCGCCACTGGGAAATGTGCTCATGAACTCTCGTAGTTCCGTGGACTGCTCAATGTTCTTCGGCGCCTCAGCACGTTCTTCGATTCTTTGCTTTAATCATCTTGATTCCATGTCTTTAAGCGACAGAAGAACAGAAAGCAATCGATTATGTCAAACCGGTTTGTGCTTGCAATATCGTGTAATCAATTTCTGCCAGGCCTTCCGCAATTGTGCGAAAATGCCCTGGAACGTGTCCTGGCCGGCGTGAACAGCCTCTTATTGGACCAAAACAAAAAAAACACATTATCCAATTTAAGTAGTAGGCACAATATGTGCAATATGCCCGTGGGGCGCTGTGATATCGTCTGTCTTTCTAGTTTGCCGCTTGCCGTTGGGAGGGCCAAACATCGCTGGGATGGCTGCAACCTCTTGAGCTGAATCCCGAAATCGTTGCAGCAGCATATCTTCCTCAAAAAATACTGCAGCAGCAGTATTCAAAAAAAATAAGCGAAACAAAAAACGGAGACGTTCTTTTGCCCCAAAGAAGGCTGAGAATTTGCCCCAGACCAGCAGGTTGCCCCAAGCCACGACGAAAATCAGAGCTTCGGACCAAAAGTTCCACAATCTTTCGATGTCTGCTGGCCTGATGTCACGGAGCTGTGGTGGGTGTTTTCCAGGTTTTGGGCATCAGTGAGGTTTTCCTTGATTCACTCACTGTCTACAAATGTCTAGCAATGACTGAGGCTCTGACCAGAACCTTTCGGATTTCGGAGCAGTGTATTTCAAACAGCCCCACCACCTAGGAAACGAGTCATGGCTCTGTCTTTGCAGAGAAAAGCCTGCGTACTGAGACGAATGCAGAAGAGTCTGGAATGGCATCCAATACTTTCTGCCTTGGGCTCTCCATAAATAAATACAAACTCGAAATTGATTGGCCTAGTCATGTTCTGATTCACAAAATTGAAGAAATTGAAGTGAACCAACAACCAGCTCAAGCTTCCAACTCCTCATCGATGTGCTCCAATATGAACTGCTTCGCCCTTTTCAACGGTGCTCGATGAAGAGGAAAAAGCACGGCATTGGTTCACAATGATTTACGTCTTGGGCCAACGACTCATCCGTGGAGATTTCCGCCGCCGCCTTTTCTTTGACCTAACAGAGGCTCCAAACACGAAAAATATATATGATTCATGATGAATGCGTTTGAGACTCATAGGACAAAGGATCAGAACTGATGAGTTCTGCATAACTACGCTACAAAGTACGTAAGACCTTGCTTAGAGGGCCACATACTCTGCGGGATCGAGGCCTCAACGCAGCGAGTGTACGTTGAATCAGCTGAGAAACCTGTATAGTCCCGGTCTTTTTGACGAACTTGTGGAACTTCCAAGTGTTTGCAGTTTTTGACAAACTTGACAACTAGAAACGTTCATGCAACATCATGCGGCTTGAGGCCATTGCGTAGAAGGCTTTGGTAAGGCTCGAAAAGCTGAATGAACCTTCGACGGGCGAGGCAACAAATTATCCAAAAGCGTAGTTCTGGCTGGTTAACAAATTGCAAATTGGTTGGGGGCTGGGGGAGGCAATTCTAAGATCAGAGACCTAAGAAACAAAAGGTAATTACTATGGACTATGAAAACAAAGCAAAGGACATTCTTGTGACCCCTGTTCGTCACCTGGCCATGCTTTCAGATTCTAATAAAGTTTTCTTTTTTGGGATCGTACAAGTACCATTTAGGTCTTGATATTCCTACGAATTGAGTTGGGGTGCAAAGCCAAGTAGTAGGTGCCATGCAACATCTAGGAACTCTCTATCTAGTTCATTCGCACAGTGTTCGATTCAAAGTTAGGTGAGCATAAAGCACTCTATACACTACATCAGTGAATAAAGACAAACCGCTCACTGTCTCACTCACAACAATTCACAACATAAATCTATGCACCAGACTCTCCAAGCGCAGGTAATGTCTTCTCCAGCTTGGCTACCAGCAAGTCTCTGCGATAGACGACCTGGGACAGTGGAAAATCAAGCTGTTGCACTTGTTCCAAATAGCTTCTTGTTCCTAGTAGTAAGGCCAGGAGCGCCCCTAGTAGCGTCCTTGTTACTAGTAGCGATGCCCTTTGTTACTAGTAGCGATGCACTTGTTCCTAATCCGTTTTCGTCTATGAGCTGAGAGCCGATGCCCAAGGCTCAGTGACTTCAACCGTGCTTAAGACCTGCAACAGCAACACATGTTAAGCAAATCAAATATATCAATGTTCTTTTCAGAAGACACCCAAACCACAGCCTGCTTGTGGACAACTGTTCGGAAAAGCTGCGGAACAACCTGGGTATTGTCAGTGTGGACACTAAATATATTGTAGCTCGAGGCTCAATTGCAGACCTCAAAAAAACAAGAATCCACCTGAGTCGGCTCCCAACAACTCTTGAAACCTCAGGGTTTCTGGCGAGCGCATCCAGCTGTGGAACATCCGCAAGGCTTTGAAGCCTCGATGCGAGGATTTGTCTGGTGCACTGCGATGGCAACAGACAAAAGAACCTACATTCTTGAAAAAAGGAGTATTGTCGCGGTGCAGTGGCTTTTCTCTTTTTCTTTTGAATACGATTTCTTTTTTCTTTCTTCCTTTCTTTGTGAACCATAAGGTGAGCACCCCTGGTCCAGCACTTTCTTGCACACGTCGACTACCTTTATCCATGCGGGCTCAACACGCACTCAAAGGCTTGACGAAGCACAATCAAACGCACATCCTCAACAGAATCAAAACATATGTGCAAAAGACTTGCCATCCTTTGTGGCAATAATATATGGCGACAAATTATTGTGTTGATGTGGCTTCATGTGTCTTGCAACCCAAAGAAAATCATCCACAGTGAAAGACATTGAAAGACTATGCTGTAATATGCTGTAATAATACTAGAACAATAAGCTACTAGGAACAAGTGCATCGCTTCTAGTAACAAGTGCCTTACTAGTAGTAACAAGAATTAGTAATAATACTTGTAATTTCCACCAATGCTGCAGCCTCCAGGCCGTCCCCTTCGGCGTTCTTCAGTCACGACCAATGGAACAAAATCGGCCTTATCTCATTAGCTTTATTTAGCGTTTCTCCAAGACTTGTCAAAACATGTCGCCTTTGTGATTCT